TCCTGGGCTGCAAAGGGAAGAGTGTGGCCAGTAGGTAAAGGGAGGTCACTCTCCCCCTCTGCTCTGCACTGGTGAGGCCACAACTGGAATCCTGCGTCCAGTTCTGGGCTCCCCAGTTCAAGAGAGACAGGGAACTGCTGGAGAGAGTCCAGTGAAGGGCAACAGAGACGATTGAAGGATTGGAGCATCTACCTTCTGAGGAAAGGCTGAGAGAGCTGGGGCTCTTTAGTCTGGAGAAGAGAAGGCTGAGGGTAGACCTTCTTAATGCTGACAAGTCTCTAAAGGGTGGGTGGAGAGAAGATGGAGCCGGACTCTTTTCAGTGGTTCCCAGTGAGAGAACGAGGGGCAATGAGCACAAGCTGGACCATGGGAAGTTCCATTCAAATCTGAAGAATAACTTTTTTGGGGTGAGGGTGGCAGAGCCCTGGCACAGGCTGCCCAGGGAGGGTGTGGAGTCCCCTTCTCTGGAGATCTTCAAGCCCTGCCTGAGGGACATGCTCTGGGCAACCCTGCTTTGGCAGGGGAGTTGGACTGGATGATGTCTAGAGGTCCTTCCAACTCTGACAATTCCCTGATTCCATGATTTAGTGTCCAATCTGCATCTTTCAGATCCATCACAGATCACATCTGTGGACCTGGAGGTAATTTTTCCTGAAAGCCCAGGACTGTCAGGAAACTCAAGTCTATATCTAGCTTCATTTAAATGAATGAAGTTGTTCTCACTGACTTCTGAGAAAGCTGGATAAATGGTCCAGGGTACAAGCCCATCCATGTTCTCACTGGCTTTTGTATCTGCACACACATTCCTAAGAAAGAAAAAGATGCAGTCGTCATTTTATTCACAGGCCACAATAAAATGCAATTTGCTTACCTGTAGCTCTGCTGGTGATTGCACACTAAGCGGGGCTTAAAGCATTTTAGGACTCACAGAGTAATAAAAATAAGTAATTAAATATATTTGTAATATAGCTAGAAAATATATGAGCAGTCTCAGCCTGATGTAATTGGAAGTGGATTTAGCAAACTCAGGCTCAGAACTGTGACCTTATTTTGTAGATGCTTTTAGCTATTTGTGTTGTTAAGTGAATTTCCAAAAACTCTGCCATCAGATTTCCTATATTTTAGAAGATTTAGGATGTTAGTTTGATTTTTCCTCTGGCTGCATTAGCAGTTGAGAACAGCCTGATTGTGTGAGTTAGAAGGTGTAGAAGTCACTTCTAGACTCCTCAGATTTTCATGATGGCAAATGGAGCAATAATAAAATCCCATTTGGGGCTTTCTCATGTTCTCCGTTATATCCTTCTCTCTTTGGTTAATTTTAACTTTGATAATTCTGTTTCGTGGGTAATTTGCTTTGGTCTTTGCCTGTGATTGAGTTATTTTGAAAAGTTAGAGTAAAATGAAAATTCTTAGGAAAAAATGATGATGAAATAGCTGCAGCCTGATTATCTCTTTTCTCAGCTGATCAATGCCAATGTAGGTGATTTTTAGTTGATGGCATTTGTCCTCGCTGCCAGCTTTGGTGTTCAGGTTTACAGGGAATGGGGGGTTGCTTGCCTTTAGTGAGGTCATCTAGATGAAAAAGTCACAAAGACTTCTCTAGATTTTAAAACTGCTGGAAACTTTGTTTAGTGAGATTTGGTGTGGAAACTCAATTTTCCTGTTACCCTTCCTATCAAAAATAGCTACTTAGGACTGAAGTGTCCCCAGACAAACACCTACAGAGCATGGCATGGGTGAGGTCGAACCATATGATTGATGCTGCCACTCTGGTATGATGCCTGACAGTTCATTTGGAGAAGTTGTATCTCTTGATCCTGGGAGTTTTCAGCAAAAAGCAGGTTTCTGGAAGTCTTATCCGTTCTTCGGTGAGCACAGACACTTCTGCTTTCAGGAAAAGCTTGCTTTTCTGTGACTTTCCTGATAAGGCTGCTCCTGGGGCACAGCAGCTCCATCAGCTCTTATCACAGCACCTGCCGGCAGGTAGACCTGGTGTCAATAGTGTTTGTGGTCAATCCTCCTTGCCCAGGATTTTCTACCAGTTTGATTTTAACTGTCAAATCCCAGCCCAGTCTGCTTCCTCTTATCGCCTGAGTTCCCCCAGGACTTCCTTGCCTACTGGGCTTGAGCAACCTGTGGCTTTCAGGCTGTTTCACAATTATAGATATGCAGCTCAAGGATTATCTTGTTACTCTGGAAGGCTTTTGCTTGTGTGTGCTTGCAGACAAGTATTCCAGCTTGTATTAAATAATGATCATCTTTAAGCTGGCTGGTACTTTATGCCGTTATTTGCAGGATGAAAGTCTTCAGCACTGTTTATGAGTGAAATTTGTACTTCTAGTCAAATTCCTGCCAGGGCCCAACCAGTTCTGTGGGGTCTCAAAAAAAAAAACCAAAAATGGAATAAAATTTACTGTCATCTCCTCCTCCCTCTAGATCCTTCACTCATTCTGTACTATTTCGGGCTGCTAAATGCCAGCAAAATTTGGCATGTGTTGGTACCTGTTCTCATCTGTGACTCCGGGGGCTGCCAGATAGGAGTCAGAGTAGCATTTTGGCACAGATTTTAAACACCAGCATTTCAGAGGCTGCAGCAAAATATATAAGATAGAAACTAGGTAAAAGAAAAAGACTTCTTCCTTAAACTTAGAAACACTTTGTGCATTTCAGTGGTGGTCACTGTAAATTTAGATTAAAGTACTCTCCTGAAAAAACATCACTTGCTTTTACAGTTTCTTTTTCCCAGTAAGTTGATTTATGTGACTTTCCTGGCAATTTAATTCTGCCTGCCCTCTGTATGGAAGGACAATTTTAAGGTGAAGAACCACTAGTTCACAGTTTACAGGAAAAGTGTACCATATATAAAGAACTGTTTGGCCCTCGTGAGACAGAAATGCTATTATTCTTTTGGTCTTGATGCTTGGAGACGTATTCATTGTCCGTCAGAATCAGAATAAGCCACATCTTGATCTTGGCTAGGATACAGCATAAATAAGAGCACTGTGGGGGCAGCTTCTCATCCAGTTGGGCACTATGCATAGGTGGAGCTGGATGGTGTCGATGGGACTCTTGCTCTGGGCATAGCCTTTATTAACCCCCCAGGATTAGCTTCCAGGTGACACTGGTGGGATGCTTCAAGCAATATGCACTTGCTGAAGTACAGATGCTTTAGTGTTCTGTAATCAGAAACAGAAAGCAAACCTGGGACCCTTCCTCTGAGTTGTGCATTGGTATTCTGCACCCTGCCTGCTGCAAAGAGGTCACGTTCTCGGGAAGGAATGCAGAAAAACAATCTAGGCAGCTGGGCACTCTCTATAACCATTGTGGTGCTGTGGAAAATGATACCCTTTTCACTGTGGATTTTGTTCTCCTGCTGTGTTCCTTTCATAATTGCCAATTAAATAAGTATCTTGGGCTTAATTTATCACTGGTCTAAATTTGTCTGTGTCAGGCAAGGCAAACTGGGTTAGCATTTGGCAATGCAGGTATGTTTTAGAAGAAGCAGACTTATTTAGTTTGGGGAAGAAATATTGATATGTATGTGGTAAGTTGGCTAATTTTGTCCTCTAGCATCATTTCCTGAAAGAGAAGCAACAGGGTTTATAGTTGATTTGATTAAATAATAAATGATACATTCTCCTACTGCAAAGTAGGCAGCATTTTCAGTGTATGAATCTTCTGTGGATATGAATGGAGAAACTCTAAATAGTACATGACCTGGGGTAGTTACTCCTCCCTAGGCATTGCTGCATACCAGAGCCCAGTGTCAGCGGCTTGAACAAGGAACTTGAGGTAGATTAAAGTTTCTTTTGTCTCTCTCCCATTGCTTTATTGCTGAACTTCATAGGAGCTTTCTCCAGACCTTCTCACTTCCAGCTGTGGCCTCAAAGATGTTCTGTACCTGTCCACAGCATACAGAAAAAAGCTCCAGATTTAACAGTTAAGTGTAAACTTTTGTCCTGTCAGCAAAGAAGTCTACCTTATGTGGCCTCATACATGGATTTGATCCTTTTTTTCTTTCCTGGTCATTTAAATTAGCTGTACTAAGCCTAGTTTTAAATTAATGCTGGGGCCAATTTGTAAAACAATATACAAAGTGTTTTCAAAGCTGTATGTTAGCTTTCCCCCGGGCACTGAGTATCTGCAGGGCCACTTCGTACAGCCGGAGGTGAGGCAGCTAAAGTGCCCGTAAGGTTCTGGCCAGAGCTGGTATCAAAAGAATCGTTCAAGGATGAGCTTGGACCTTGCTGTTGAAATTACTGCAAATTCCTCTCTAGGTGCCCAGGAGAACATTATTAAACCTCTGTCTCGTGACTCCTTCGCATACCGGTAGGTTTGCCAGAAGTCAGCCAGCAAGCTGTAAAGCCCGTATGGCCAGGCAGATGGATTCTGTGCGTCATCAGGTCCCTTTAGAAGTAAAGGCACAACATTAAGGTGACACTGTCTTTGTGTGTTTAAACAGCTGACAACTGAAGCAAGACATGTCTTGTTATGTTTGGTAGCTGCTATTTTGCATTTCTGCACAGAGCTGGGAGATGCACGGTGTTGGAGAAGATGCAGCTGGATGGAGATGGCAAAAGATACTGCTGGGTCTACCATTAATTCCACCCCTGGGTCTTTGCCTGTCTATTATATGTTCCTTAATGAGCACCCTGCATCACTCGAACATAGGATAGACAAAATACTCCATAATTTATTAAATGTAATTCAGTTTTAGGATGAAGCTTGCAGGCTTTCCTCTTTAGGCTTGAGTCATGCTTTGGATTAATAGCCCAATTATTTGCTAACAGCCAGAACATCCATACCCAGGAGCAATGCAGCTTCACCTGCCGCTGGTGCTGCCAGTCCCACCCTGTACCCAGTGAGCACTGCATTGGTTGAGGGCGGGTTCTGCAGAAGCACTTGGAGATGCTTTTTGGTCTGAATATAATTCTTGATTGTCAGTTGTTGTGCCCCTTGTTTTGCCTGTTCCCTAACAGTGGCTGTTTTGTTCTTTGCAGATGATGGGAAGCTCTCCCTGGAGGAGTTCCAGGCCTTTTTCTCTGATGGGACGCTCAACGAAGAAGAACTTGAGAAGCTCTTTCATACCATTGACTCTGACAACACCAAGTAAGTTTCCTGTGCTGACACTCCCCAGTTTCACAGAGCCTTTGGATCGTTGCATTAATGTGCAGCGGCATGCTGGTGCGGAGAGCTAAGCATTGTGGAGGCTGCAGGAGTGCAACTCACTTTGTAAAACTTTGCAAAATCTCCATTTCTGCTTGGTTTGTGTCTCACCATGGTGGCTACTATGATTCCTTTTGTCTTGGTGGCTTTTTTGAGGCCATTTTCTTTAGTGCAACCTGATCTTTATGGCATCTGACTCATGAGGGTATTTTAAATGGCTCTTCAGCTTTTCTACTTTATCTAAAAGTTTCGCTGTGCTATATAAAAGGTGACTGTGTGAATCTCTGTATGCGTTGTCCTATCCAGCTATTTCACACACAAAAAACTGGAATAATTTGCGGTCTTGTCTCTTTGTGATCTCTCTCTATCCCCTGCACTTGGATCATGCCTGCTTTGCCTCCCCTCCAAAATATCCCCGGGTGCAGTGGTCGTTCTAGCAGTGGGTAGAGGTGGAATTCAGCTGCATGGAGGCCAGCCCAAGCCCTGCAGCAGCTGTTGATGATGCTTTGCCTCTGTTCTCACCCCAGCAACCTGATGTGGCTGTACTTCTGTCTGTACAAAGCCTGGGCAAGGAGCAAGGGGACAGATCATAGAATCATTATGGTTAGAAGAGACTTTAATATCATAAAGTCCAACCATTAACCCAGCACTGCCAAGTCCACCACTGAACCATGTCCCTCAGCACCATGTCTGACTGGCTTTAAAATACCTCCAGGGATGGTGGGTGCACCACTTCCCTAGGCAGCCTATTCCAATGCTTGAGAAGCCTTTTGGTGAAGAAATTTTTTGTAATATCCATCCTCCCCTGGTGCAACTTGAGGCCATTTCCTCTTCTCCCATCGCCTGTTCCTTGAGAGAAGAGACCGACCCCTCCCAGCTACTCCCTCCTTTCAGGGAGTTGGAGACAGCGAGGTCTCCCCTGAGCCCCCTTTTCTCCAGGCTGAACAACCCCAGCTCCCTCAGCCTCTCCTCACAAGACTTGTGCTCCAGACCCCTCACCAGCTCCATTGCCCTTCTCTGGACCCGCTCCAGCAATACGAGCATCACAGCTGCAATAGCAGTGGGGGAAAAGGATGGCAGAGGAGGCTCTAGGCATGATTTTGTTTGATGTTACATCAAAGTTGAAACTAAATGTGCCACCTGACCACAGTTGCTGAGAATCAAGCTTTTGCAAGCTGTGTCCAGCTATCAAATTAAGGTGACAAACTCATTAGCTGCGCCTCGGCCTCCATTTGCTGTCTCTCCCTCAGTGCCTCCTCTGACTGCCTTTGCCTTCGGTGGGGTCTGAGGTGTCTGTGAGCCCCCTAAGTCTCTGGCACTGGGGGCGTTTGGGATCGACATGAAGCCATGTGGTCTGCAAGGCTCCAGTGGGAGCCTCTCTGCCTGCAGCTGGTGACAGCACGGGGCACTGGCTCAAAGGGCACAGCCCTAAGGTGGGGTTTTCTCTTTCCAAGAGGAACCCCTCTTCAAAAGCCTGAGTGGCTTAGGCTGTTTAGAAATATAAAAGAAAGCCAGCTTTGAGTCATATTCTAGTGTGATTCTTACATCTCTAGAGAGAAAAAATCTGTCCAAAAAGCAGATGAAAAGAGACTCCAATTTCAAATGAGAAGTCTTGCAGTAAGTGCCTGAAAAAAAATGGGCTGGTTAATTATAAAGCTTTCTGGGAGCAGATAGAGTCTTGCCCATGTGAGAGGTGCATGCTTTGCCACCCATCCAAAATATCCCCTGGAAAGAGTAACTGTTCTAGAGTCTGCTGTATCAAAGCAGAATATTTATAAAGCTCATCAACCTGGTACAGGGGCTGCTGCTGAAGATGGTTCTGAAAGCAAAATAAATGTGAGGTTTCTCAAAATCCCATCTTTCCAATGTGTGCATTTCCCAAAGTTTATTCTAAGGTCAGAAATGCCAAAGACCAGCTTGGAATATACTATTTGCTGAATAATTAATCAACGGAACTTAAGTGATCTTGTTACTAAAATTAGCTGAGAGTGATCCATCCTTTTCAATGGTTCCTTTTCAATGGACACTAGATGCTGCCTTATGCGTTGTGGGTCTATTTATCGAACTCCAGGTGATGCTGCTGGGTAGGCTCTCTATGGACTCTGGGACTCAGGTGCTTACCTGTCTCTCTTATGAAATAATTTATAGCATTGCCTGAGCTTATCGAAGTTCATCTGGCCTTTGAAAGGATGCAGACAGCTGGTATTTAAATCAAGATATACGTATATGGGGGGTTAGAGTGTGGGTGTTTCTTCTGACTTTCTTGAAATGTGACTTCTTGAAATTGGATTGAGGTCCATTCACTTGGGGATTGTACAGAGTCTGCAGCTTGCCCCGAGCCTCAATAAGGGATTTCTTCTAAAATGGACAGAGAGAAAATGTGCTACTTCTAAGTGTCATGCAACAGCGCTGCTGGTGAGCAGGGTCTTGCTGAGCAGCTCCTGAGTGTGGCAAGAGTTGTCACAATTCAGTAGCATTTTTCTTCTGCCAAGATGGCTTGATTCAGTCATCAACACCCGTTAGGGACCGATACTTGCACAGAGCACTGTAGCATCTGTCTTTCTTGGCTGGAAGGAGAAGCAATGAGTTGGTCACCCTTCCAAGTTAAATCTTTGTATGAAATTGGCACTTGCTTATTGATTTGGAAAGCGTAGACACCTACAGCAAATTTATCAAGTTGGGGGAAGAAAATATTCCTCATTTTTTATCTGCAAGAGTGCTGTGGGTTTCCAGAAAACCTGTTTCAGAGACAAGCTTCCTTCTGCAGAAGTGCTTTTCACTATGAAACGAGTAGTTTGTTGACTGCAGTCTTGCAACTAGTACAGCCCTTCAAATTGTGTGTGCACTCTTCACCTTGCCCTGTCTTCTCTTCTCCACACAGGAAATTGGCAGGTCTGTAGGTAAATCGGGCAGGAAGGATGCTGCCTCCAGCCTCTGGCATGCCCAAGAATTAGGGTTGTAGTTCCAAGTGCTGCTGCTATCGGGCAAGAAGAGTGGAGTGGAGCCTTCAGTTTTCTATTTTACAGGAGGAAAAGGAACAATATTAACTTTGTCTTTCCAAAAGGCTGTTTAAATAACAATCATGTGCCATTTGATAGAAGTTTGCTTATTTTTAAAGCCGTTTTTTGATACTCCCTTTTATCTCTGGTTTTCTCATATTGCTCATGATGTTTGTTTAGCGTGCAAAACAGTTTGCTATTGAAATTACATTACAGCTAGAGTAGAAAATGAAGAAAATTATGTTCCTGCTGATTATTAGTAATTGCTGTTACCAGCCAAATTGCAAAATGTTGGTTCGATTTCCTGGAGTATTTTTAGGAGCAGGGAACTGCCTTACTGGAGTAGACAAAATGAATGTCTGTATCAGTTTCTCGACTTGCTTTAGTTGGGAAGACAGTGGAAAGGAGAAAAATCGGGCAGAAGAGTGGAAAGATGAGGTTGGCTAATGATGAAGGAATCACTGCGTGGAGTGTCAGTCGCGGTGTGCTGCGGCTGGGAGGTGGGTTTCTGTCTTGGGAATCACACTCTACAAAACACCTTGTTGCCCGCAGGGTGTGGTTAGGAGGATGTTGAACTGAACTGAGATACCCCAAATAGGCCAGGGGCATAAGCAAGGTTCGTTCTTTCTTCTTGGCTGCCTGGAAAGTGTCTCCAGGAAGTTAATGATGTGGAATGGTGGGCGTGGGCTCCAAACACCTGTTTTATTATCTGGTATCTCTATAAGAGAACTTGCCATCCGTGGCAGGGTACAAGGACATGTTGCAAGACCCATCATCACTGGTTATTTCATCTGGCAGCAGGAACATGCAAAATGTGTCACATATTTAAATCCCCCCCTTTTTTGGCAAAATTATATTTGTAAACCTGCTGTTGCTTAAAAACAATGATCAAGTGGTGTTCTTCTCTCTGTTGCTCACACTGGCTGCCCTTCTTCCCTCCCAGCTGAGGCGGGAGGCAAAAGCAAGATGTTGCTAGGTAGTTTTTCATTATTGGTTTTAGCTGCTATTTCAGGAGGTTTCAGTAGTGCTTTATGGGGAGCTGATTGAAGATTAATGGGGAGGTAATGATATGTTACTATTAATATCAGTGCTACTGGAATTGCACAAATTATGTGTATGATATGTAGACACACATATTTAAAAATACATATATATGGTTTAGTGGCAGAACAGGGCTTTAGAAAACATTAGATTGACGTTCACCTGGGAATTCCTGTTATATTTGCAGTATGATCTACAACTTTTCTACCTTTTCTAATGACATGTATCAATTTTAAAAGGAAAAAGTTGTTGCAAATGGAAAGCCAAACCAGTTTTAGGATCATGGATGGTCAGATGAAAACCTTTCACCCTGCTACTCTGATACTGGGTGAAACTTCCTTTGCCTGACCCACAGTTCCCATCTTGCTCTCGCTCCCTGGACCAGCGTTGACACCCACTCTGCATCCCCTCAGAAGGAAGGAGCCCCTCTCAGTCCTTTTGAAATCAGGGAGAGGTCAGGAGTGGCTGTTGGCCAAACTAATTTAGTCCTGGCAGAGTATTTTAAAAGTTCCTTTTCTATCTTGTACGTTTTTCATAGCTGCAAAGGACAATCCTTCAGGGAGAGATCTGCTCACTGGAGCAGGACTTCTCTCCAATGAGCTGTACAGGTCCATTCACAAGGAGCCAAGAACATGGCATTAGCATTCTGCTGCTCTGTCATTTGTTATCTCTTTGCTAGGCTTAAAGCTCTTCTTTTAATTGCTTTATCCCCTCCTCCCCCCAAATGAGCTCTTCTCTCCAGTGGCAAACACTAGAAAAGGTTGGAGTGTGCATGTAGGATAATTAGCAGAAGCGGTGTCTCTTCTTAGAACGCCTTCACAGCTTCCCCAGACTGTCACTTTTGCTGGAGGATTGTGACGAATGGAAAACTGAAGACGACCAGGTTTTTCAGCAGCATGTTGC